ATGCCTGCTTCCTCGCGCCTCCGCAGGGTAGACGCCAGCTCTGCTTCCATGAGGTTTTCGAAGAGAAGCTCCTTTGCGACCCATTCATCCTTGCGATTCTGCTCGAGCACTTCGGCTTCGGCGCGCAGCTGCTCACCGTCTTGGGTGGCCCAAAGTAGCTGTCGGCGGAGTAGTTGGAAAAGCTCCGGCGCCGGAAGGGACAGCTCGTGCGGTGTGAAGTTCATGTCGGGCGGGAATTGCACCATGATGGGGGCGCCCGGAGACGCCAGATCTTGCATGTAGATGACGTTGTTGTGGGCGTATTCCAGGTCTGCGTTTACCGGCGGCGGCGGCGGCAGTGTGGCGCTGGGCGGTGGATGCGAGGACGGCGAGGCGGGTGTTGAGCCTTTTTCTTGCCGCTTCTCGTTGTTGAGGACGAGCTTGATGCGCTGGAATTTATTCGAGGGGTTCGACGAGTGGTGCTTCGGGACGGGATCGGATGGCCGCAGGGCTTCGGTCTCGTGTACGGTCCGCATGTGCTTAGCAAGGGCGTCAGAGCGCGTGAATGAGCGGTCGCATTCTACGGACGTTAATACACAGGTCGCGTACAGCATACGAAGATCACTACTTACCCGGCAGCACACAGTAAAACGGTTTCTCCCTGGTGTGGCTTCGCATATGGGCTCTCAACGCATAGCCACTGGCGTGCGGTATCCCTTTGCGATTGCAGTCGCTCCACTCGCAGCTGTACTTCTTCTGCCGCGTGCCGATATGGTCCTCGTGCAGATGCTCGACCAAGTTGTCCATGTTCTCCAGGTCCCCAGCCTCGCAGCCATCCCACTTGCACGCCGAGACCTGGTCCTGGCCGAAGTCGTCCTCGGCCGACATGCCCGGGTGGTGCGGCGACGCGGGGACAGAGCCGTCCGTGTCTTCTGAGATGTCGCCAAAGTCCTCGGTGGGCGGCATGATGGCGGGCGGGTCGGAGTGTGCGCGGTGGGTAAGACGGAGCCGTTTGCTAGGGCGGCCAGAGGGCTCGTGGTCGGGCGTGTTTTCATGTTCGATGCTCAGCCGCCGGCTCTTGACGTCGTCGGGGAAATAATCCGAAGGGTAGTCGGACAGGTCCGAGTTGGGCGAGTCCATGGTGGCAGTGGCGATGGGGAAGCGGGCGGACGAGCTTGCTGGTGAAGGTGTGAGTGAGCGCCGGCGCGTGCTGGCTGGCCCCGGGGGTGTCGCGCAGGCGCACGGTCCAGGTGTTGACTGCAGCTTCCCGTTGCACATTTTTAGCCGAACTCGACTCTCTCCCTCGTCTCACCTGCACCTGCCCTTCCTCACCACCCACCGGCCGCTCACTTCCGCTCAACGGAGTGTCACATACCAGAGTACTGAGTAAGTCGATTTTCATTTGCTACAATAGCTTCTACTATGATGAAGCCTAGAGTTCTGCAATTCCAACATTTTCCTTCACCGGAACTTGCATGCGGACTAACTCTATACACTACACTTGACCTGATCCCACGCATTGCTCCTTCTCCATCCCATACTTCCTTTCGGAGACACGAAGCTAATTGTTGCCCTGTCTCACAGAAATCCATCCTCGCTCGCTCTCTACCCCTCGGTGAATTGCATCATCTGCTCAGGGTACCGCGTACCGACCACCGTGAACTTCTTTAGGATCTCGGACAAGGCCGCCATATCCTCGTCGTTGAGTTTTGCTGGCTTCATGTTCTCCTGAATACGCTCCGACGTAGTTGCACCGGGAATTGGGATTATCTCAGGTAGTCCCTTCTTTCCGCTATGAGCAAGCACCCATCCCACAGCAATCTGTGCTGGTGTGACGCCCTTCTTCGACGCGATCTTCTCGACCTCGTGGACCAACTTGAGATTCTCACCGAATACCTCAGGCTGGAAGCGGGGGGAGATCTTGTTGAACGAGTCTGCTGGTATGTCGTCGAACGACTTGATCTGGCCAGTCTAGAGCGATATCAGCAGTGATATAGGCATGGAGCAAGCAAGCTTACCAGAAAGCCGCGCCCCAGAGGCGAGTATGCGATGATCGGGATGTCTAGCTCCGCACAGGTCTGCGCAACACCGTTCTCCAAGATATCAGTCGCCCACAACGAAAACTCGACTTCAACAGCCGAAATTGGGTGGACCTTGTGAGCCCTTCGGACTGTGTTCGCATTGACCTCTGATAGACTGATACCACCCAACTTTCCAGCCTTCACGTAGTCCGCGATATAACTAATGGTCTCCTCGATCGGCGTGTTCGGATCGACTCGAGCACACTCGAACAGATCAAGAGATTTCTTGCCATTGAGGTGCTTCAAGCACTCGTCGATACTGCGCTGGATGTTCTTTTTGCTCCCGTCTGGAGCCATGCCGCCCGCCACAAGGCCGCCTTTAATGGAAAGCACGATCTTGTCGGCGTCTTCGGGATACTTCGTAAAGTACTCGTTGAGGAGATGCAAGGAATTGCGTTCTGGAGTACCATAAAGTTCGCCGCCGTTCCACGCATTTGCGCCGAGGGAGAGCGCGGTGCGCATTGCGTCGAAGGACTGCTCCTGCGGTGGGGGACTGGCGCGCCATGTCAGGCCTGCAGACTGTCAGTTACGAACGCAAGATCTCAAAGGCATTGACGAACCCATGAGGCCGTAGCCAATGTCGCCGACGTCTTTGCCTACTAGTTTAACCATCTTGTCTGGTGTTTGGGGGTAGAGGCTTCGTATATGATATGAACAAAAGTAACAGTAGGTGTGGAAGTGGAAGTAACTGACGCGTAGATGATGTTGCTCTTGTGACTTTCAACTTGTCCTTCCTCAGACGCCTTTATATACCTTTCCAACACTCTTCAGCCTTAAAACCCCAAGATAGTGATAGTGAAATGCTCAGAAACAAAATTAGAAAATCCGGTTACATCAGGTACTGTTGATGTCACGGATTAGATTCCGCCCCACCTTTAGGCGTTAAGGGTATCTCCGCTAGAGCCATAGCTATACATAAAGCCCGGGCAGGCCACATTGTATTCCGTTTAAGGAAATGGTGCGCCGTAAAAAGTGGTAAACAAGAAATGCGGTCGGATTTGACGAGGTCGTTTCTCGGCCGTGATGGAGTTACAGACAATCCTGTGCGGATTCGTTGCGCATTACCATAAGACGGAGTTTGGACTTTGGACTTTATCGTCCGATAGATGGTATTAGGATTCTCGTAGGATTATAATAACCTCTTTTTGTCTCTGCAAAGCCTGTTCTAGTGAAATATGGTGAGGCGATTGAGACCAGCTGGTGCCAGCACCGGTTCCTGGCCTGCGGCGGTGTTGGTGCCTGTCTGATGGAAGCATATATCCGAAGGTTCGGGGTTAACGAGTATATTGTACAATAGAGATAGGTACTTCTTGAGAAGATCATTTGGTAGGTGATTTTGTTGTCTAAATTGCTGGTATGTGCGCACTTTGTCAAACAGCGAGATGCCCGCGTCGCTGACTGACTGACAGACAGCATCGATGCCACCTAACCAAGCAGCCCCGAAGGAAAATATGAGAGCAGGACAAGACTGTCTTGCTCTAACCTGCTGTTGTGTTTCGCTCTACCGCGCCTTTCTAGCCGCCTCACTACCCTCCAGGTTCCTCAGCACCGCTCTCACAGGCCACACGAACCCCTCCTCGATACGGTCCGTCCGACCTTCTTCGAGCGTAACGAGGTACTCGACCAGCGCCATGCCCGTGTACGCGCCTATACCCGTGAGGATGTGCCACCAGCCGTGCAGCTCAAACACCAAGGCCCATGGCAAGCCGAGCTCGCGCTTGAACGCCGTGACGTGCGAGCAGAGGTGGAAGTCGATGTTCCAGAGGAAGTAGCCGAACAGGCCGGAGCCCAAGCCGAAAATCGCCATGGAGCCCAGCCGCTTCTGCGACTCTGGGTTGGTGACACGCTCGCGGATGAGGCGGCGCGCTTGGCGGACCACGAGCAAGATCATTATGGCGAAGACGAGCTCGTGCACGTAGATCTCGTCGGCCCAGACGTGATAGATGGAGGCGGGGATAAGGGTGCCGAGGATGAGGAGCGTGGTTTTGAGGCGTTGGGTGGGCGTCGAGTTGAAGGTGGTGAGTTGGTGGAGGAGGGCGCCGACAGCGAGGAACATAGAGAGGTCGTCGCCTGGAGGTGTTAGATTGTGACACGGAGTTTGGGCGTGGCTGGCCGTGCGTCCCAGATATACTAGACATGTCTGATGTTGGAGGACTGGCGCTGATGTTTTGGGCTTCGCGAATAAAGTAAATGGCGAGAGGATGAGTAAACAAGGATAATGAATGAGCCAACACATACCCATCTGACTATGATATTTCAGCGTGATGTGAAACCAGGCCGAGAGTACTCCCACGCCGACGAGGCCCCAATATGGGAAAGCTAACGTTGAAAACAGGCCGCCATCCTCGCGATGCCGAACCCTGCGGATGCCATGGGCGCCATATATCACTAGGAAGGCATTTCTTGTTAGCAAGTTGCTTCGAAAATCGTATGTATATCGATCGGGAGTAAGAACATACCGTATGTTAGATTGGTAAGCGTATTGACGAATTCTGCGATGTACGGGGTGATAATGTAGTCCTTGCGGCAGCGAGTTAGCCCAGATGCTCGTCCCGAGGGCTGCCTATTCGAGTGCATACCTCTTCACAGAAGCTACACGATGTTAGTTAGCCTCGCGCAAGGAAACAAGCAATGCCACATGCAACGCCCCGCAGTGTAGTGTGGAAGATTCTTACTTGTGGTTGGAGTTCGGTGGCCCATGGACTCCTGTCACGGGGCCTTGTTGATACGGCCATCCTAGAGGCATGATTCAAACTATGGTTAGATGTGGTAAAATGGAAGATGGAGGTCGAAATCAAATGTTGTTTGTCGTGAGATGTTAAGTGCAGGTGAGAAGAGAAAGCTTTGACCAATAGTAACCCCTGACCCCCGCGCTAGTCCCAAAATAGATGTCTATCACCAAGATGTAAAAAACTACAACCAACCCCAAATATCAAAAATGGGTCTTGCCGCGATTCGAACGCGGGGCCTCTCGCAAATGAGCTTAGGATACCCTAAGCGAGAATCATACCACTAGACCACAAGACCGATGCTTAGTAATGAATGAGGGTCTGCTCAATTATGTTAATTATATACTGGGAAAGCGAGAGAGCTTCTGAAGTGCGTTTGCAGTTATGGATAGGTTTGTGCCGCGGTAAAGCAAGCCAAAGGCGGTGAAGGATTTATGGACAGGTGGGGATTGTGGGTACGCGAGAAGGATGTTCAATGACTACTTGGAAACCAACAAAAAGATCCATGCGGAGCAAACAAACTTTCCGATATGTCTCAGAGCCTTGGGAGTCCTGAAAAGCGTGAGTCTGGTCTCAGTGCTGGTTTTATATGGATTTCGAATATCGACATGGGCTAGATTGATAGGCCTAGTCTCCTCAATCCAATGCCATGGTAACCCCGAGATCGAGCAGTACAAGATCTAATCTAGATACAGTGTGACCAGCAACCTGGTATGGAGTATATCTAGCCAGGTGCGTCTGCATGATGATTCGTTCTTCTCTTGGACAAACTGCACTTCGACCCAGAACTCCGTTACCCTAGCGTAGCATAGGCTCGGCCCTCACACCGCCGTCCAAAAGGAATGCAAGTCTATGCATGCGCATGTCTACTAAGCAAAGGAAAAACATACGTCCTCCAATGCTGTCCTTGCTAAGGTAGTAGTACATCTCTAACGGGATAACAACATGTTCCTAGCTTAGAGTGGCAGATCTTGTGCTTAGGTATTAGGAAACCCAATCTTCAGCGCTCAAACACGTGCCTACTCTCTAAGTTGGATTAGATCTATGGCCAGATACAAACCGGAAGCATTTCGGCGAAATAAGCGGAGATGAGTGGCCGTCGTCCCTGGTAGCGCGTAATGGAAGAGAAATAACTTGTTCAATCAATCAATGAGAAACGGGCCAAGTGGCGTAGTCTAAGGCAAGCTTAATGCGTACTACTCCACAGTCTCAAAAGTGGTGAAGATGTTGTCTAGGGAGAATGAGGGGATGCAGATGACCTAAGAAGCGGAGATCCTGGCCCGTGCCCAGAACGACACCAACCTTGGAATGTTCCCAGCCTCCCACACCATTCTATGAACCATCAGCCGGAAGCCTTTTCGCGCTTGAGCATCATCGCTGCAATACGGAGTACACAGTATAATTATGGGTCCAAGCTCACGTAGAGCGATATATCTACATGTCGCGTCTCTGGACTGAAAAGCCGTTGAGTTGAGCCCTTCCCGCCGCTGACGAGGGCACCCATGTCTCCACCGATGCTTGAGCGGGTGCGGAGTCTCCACGCGTGCTTGGCTTCGTTCCCCAGATCTCCCTGTCCTTTATTCCACCAATGGCGAGGCGGTCGGTCTCTCGTCGGCAGATAGTGCGGCATCACGGATAATCACCACCTACTGCATGCAACGAATGCCTGACGAATAGGCTGAAGGCCCTGCACATCGACCTGTGATTTTACCCTAGCCGCGGACGACTTGCAGCTTGGAGACTCGGGAAGATGGACGGAGCTGTAGCTCAAGCGGGGGAATGCCAGGCCCAATACCCCCCCTCCGGAATGCATATATGAGAGTGACTGTCAGCAAGATTGTGTTACAACCTCTTGTCGCCGACTTCCTCTCCTCGCATTGAGCTTGTAGAGCTTTGAAGTCGTCAATATGGGCCTCCCAACATTTCCCAAGATCTACAATGTCTACTTCCTGGCTATGGTCGCAACTATGGGTGGCATGCTCTTTGGTTTCGATATTTCTTCAATGAGCGCCATTATTGGAACTAAACAGTACAGGTGAGTGCGTTCTCCTCAAGTGTCGTTCGGAATCTACCACTTGATCCCATCTAACATCAAAATCTAGGAACTATTTCAACAACCCCAATGGACTCGCTCAAGGTGCTATTGGCTCCGCATTGGCTGCTGGATCCGTTGTCGGCTCGATCGTTGCTGGTCCTGTCTCCGATAAGATAGGACGTCGAAACTCATTGATGTTTTCCTGCATCTTTTGGCTCATTGGTACTTCACTGCAGGTTGCTACCAATGGTCGCGGCATGCTGATTGCTGGGCGTGTTTTTAACGGTGTAACCGTTGGAATAACCTCATCCCAAGTGCCCGTCTATCTCGCCGAAGTTGCGAAGCACAGCCAACGTGGTGCCATCATTATCATCCAGCAACTTGCCATTGAATGGGGCATTCTTTTCATGTCAGTATAGGTACTCAAACAGACCGGCGGTAGCTAACACCAAAAAGGTACTTCATTGGCTATGGTTGCTCGTTTATTGGTACCGAAACGGATACGGCTTCCTTCCGAACAGCGTGGGGCATCCAGTTCGTCCCCTGTGTCTTCTTCATGATCGGTCTTCCTTTCTTGCCGGAGTCGCCTCGATGGTTGGCTATGGTGGACCGCACCGACGAAGCAGTCCATATCCTTGCGAACATCCACGCCGGCGGCAATATCGAGGATCCGTATGTCATTGCAGAGTACGAGGAGATCGTCACGGTCCTTACTGCGGAACGGCTCGCCCCCAAGTCCTGGAGGAAGTTTGTCTACAACGGCATGTGGCGCAGGACGTTGGCTGGATTCTCCGTTCAGGCGTGGCAACAACTATCGGGAGCGAACGTTATGGTAACTTTGCCCAAGTTATATTACATTTATTGTGAGCTAATCATATTTTAGACATATTACGTAGTCTACATTTTCTACATGGCGGATCTCAAGGGCAACGTCAACTTGATCTCATCCGGCGTTCAGTATGCTCTGTTCATTCTGTTTTCGACTATCATGTTCTTCTTCGTCGACAAGATTGGTCGGAGGACATTGCTGGTATGGGGTGCTATCGCTATGGCCTTTTGCCACTTCGTCGTAGGCGGTGTACTTGGGTCGAACTACGAATATGTACCTGGTAAGCAAAGATCTCGTGCCCTTAAGTACTATGGTATGCTAATCATGCGTCAGGTGGTGTCGAGGGCGATGCGAATGTTGTTATGCGAGTAACTGGAGCGCCCGCTCATACCGTCATCGCATTCTCTTACCTTCTTATCATCATGTTTGTATTGCCCATACTCGTGCAGATTCCAACTAACGCCACACAGATACGCTCTGACTCTTGCGCCCATATGCTGGGTATATGCTGCCGAGGTGTGGTCCCTTGAGACTCGCGCTTGGGGTATGGGTATCGCTGCCATCGGAAACTGGCTGTTCAACTTCGCCATCGGACTCTTCATTCCTCCAGCTTTCCTGAATATCCGCTGGAGACTCTTCATTGTGTTTGGAGCACTTTGCTTGGGCGGCGCGATCCAATTCTACTTTACGTATCCCGAGGTATGTTACCACCAACTCTGCTGAGCAGGAATTTGCTGACATTACGATTTAGACTTGCGGCAAAACCATCGAAGAAATTGAGATTCTTTTCGGTGACGATGGACCCCGTCCATGGACGACTAAGAAGGGCAACTCTCGTATCGACCGGGAAATCGAAGCGGTCACCCATCTGCAAGCCAAAGATGAGGCACGAGCTAGTATCAGCAAGGTCATTGAGGAGGAGAAGCAGGCTATGACTGGTTCGAAAGGACTCAAGACTGAATCCGTATAGACCTGCTCAATAGTCTTCGGGTCTAGAACCAGTCTTTGGCTGAGCAAGATGAGGGATAAGGTACGACGATACTTGATACCCATACGTCGGAGTACATCTCTGAAAGAGGAAACACAATTCTTTCGCTATTCATTGTTCTGATTCGTGACCCCCAGGTCCAAAGGTATATCTTTCCAGAGTATAGTAGAATCCCTTAGACGCTCACCAGAAGTGCACGGGAGATTCAAGATTCCGCGCCATGACCATGCAAACCATGTCTTCCAAATGCCCTGCAAACTATGTCAACACCGACCATACCTGGTTAGTTGTTTGTCAATCCCCCTCTCGCCCCCCCTCCAAAATACTTCAAGTACCCAACTCCTTATCGTTACTATCACACCCGCCCCCTCTCCCACAACAGCCTTTCTTCCTCCACACTCCTATCTACACACCACTCTATTTCCATCGCCCTCCCCCGTCCCCCCATATCCACCCAAACAGTTCCCAAAACCGCCTCTCGCCCAGCTCATCCCCGCACCTCTCACACAACTTCTCTACATACACCTTCTCTAATGTACCATTCTGTGTAGCATCAACGTCCGGGCATTCGACAGTCAGGCCTGCTGGGCCGAGAATAAACGTTCCGCGACCGCAGTTTACGGGGCGCGGGGGCAGGGGCGTGTGGCAGGCTGGGCAGGTGGTGTGCTGGATGTGGCACATGGTTGTGGTAAGTAGGGGTCGTGTCGTGGCGATAGTGGGGAAAGGGGAAAGGAAAAGGGAAAAGTAGAGGTTTGTATGGTACTAGGGGATATAGAGACAGTTGTGAATCTAGCAAAACAACATGCCGCCCAAATAGTAAGAATCTAGTGATTTCCCTAACATTATAACTCACTGCATTACTCCCTGGAATTGATGTCCCGACCGCGCCCTTCAATAACAGCCTCCCAATCACGTATTTGCTTAGCAGGTAGTATCTCCTATGTCTAAATTTTTCCAACTAACGAAAACGATCCACTACGACTGGTTATATAGCTAAGGCCCGCGTTCCTGTGCCTATCATACTACCTGGTCAACGGTTCTGGTATTTGTCTAGGCGGTTTCACGTATATAGTACGTACCTATTTGGAATAAGAGATGTGACGAGATGATATGGATAGAAGAATAACGCGCTCGCGGGCGTGGGGTGGAAGCGTAGACATGCGCACTCCAATCCCCTCCACTTCACTGAATCCACTGCGCCGAAATCCGTCTATCTAGCTAGGCCGCGCTACTATCATCATGCAATGCGGCGTAGTCAATCTAGTTCGCGAAGCGGAGGCTGAGGCTGAGCGGGAACTAAACTAAGCACGGGCTTGCAAAGTAACTAGGATTTCCGTGCGTTGGTTGTTAAGGTGTAGTATGTTGTGGCACAGTGCGTACGTACCCCTGTTAGCGATGTTGGCTAGGGGACGGGATGGGATGGGATGGGGGGCGGTGAGGCGCAGA